CAGGGAATTCACGAACTTTTCCCGAGTGATTGGGAGTGCCGGGACTACCTCGAATATAGACTATACAGAATCCAGGCACAGGCTGCTTATTTCGAGTAACAACAAATCTGTGGGTACTGAGATCTATGTCAGCAATATGACCGGAACCATACATCTCGTCCAAATACATCTCGATCTGGTTTCTTCCACCAATTTGCGAAATAGAAATACTGGATAGTCTATCCATTGGCCTTTTGAATGCATTCTTGATGTTTGATTGTGCTTTATTGTGTGCTTGGAAATCACTGATGGATACTTGTATGAACATCGGTCCGAGCATGTAATCAAATCGGGGGTATCCATTAAAACCACGACCTAAGACTTTATCATAACCAGGTCCAAGGGATAAGCCAGAATTCTTGATTACTGCATAGTCTTCAAACATGATCTTAACAGGACTAGTTGGCCGGTTATTGAGATCCGTTGCTTCGAGGAGTGTTGTTGTATTAGACCTGCACACAAACCGATTGAACAAGGCTTCTTCAAATTGATCTCCGGTCAGCTCTCCTATCCTGAGTTGATTTCTTATATTTTCGGGTAGGTCAAATGACATATACATTTTTAATAGGGCTTTCTGAGCAGATCGGCATAGAGGGTGGTAATGAATAACATTATCCTTGTACCGATAAATTAACCCAAGATCTAAGAACTTCCATTCAAATTGCACAGGGGGTATGCTGGGAACAAACATGCTTGTGAGGGCGGCATAGTAACGGTTTTTTTCATTTTTCGGAATATCATTATAATATTTTTGAGCAATAATCAGAATCTTGTCAACTCGTTGATCCTCAAAACCTTTTACTACTCGTTTAAAGGTGTTTACATCGATACTAGTAATACTGAGCTTGTTAACATATTCAGCTAAGTGAATGAGTTCACGCGGCACACAATTCGTAACCTTTTTCACTTCTTCTTTGATGCTTGGTATCTTCAGAATTGGGTGCATCTGCAACAATGCGTCAAATACATCATCCTGTAATGGACCAACATAGATAATCCACCATTCCCTCTGACCATTTTGCATGTGTGTCCTCTCATATTTAGCATGTGCAGTTCCTGTAAAGATTACACGTACACCTTTATAATGTTCTCCCCAATAGGGAAGGTTCATCAGAGGATTTAAAATCTGAAGTCTATTAGGTACTATTTCATTTTCAAATAATGCACCATGTTCATCAACAATAAAGAGAGTTTTGCGATTTACTTGTTTGAGTAGATTCCCCAAAATTTCCCCGGTGGCGGCAACCTCAACAGAATAACGATTAGTATATTGCACAAGCTGCCCAAGCTCGGCGGCAGTCAAGATATCTTTGTTCTGTGCTATGAAGTATCTGCAAATCACCTCTCCCGCTTTTTCTTCCTCGCGTTCATTTAGCTCGTTTGCATCTGCGATGTAGAGCATCAGCCAACCTTCAGCATAAGCTTTGGATGCAAGGAAGTAGGAAATATATGATTTACCCACACCCATTGGACCTGAAAGAACACGTTTGATTGAACGCTCTTGATCTGCTGAAAGAGTATTCCATATGTCAATCATCTGCTGAGTAATAAACAGTGTGTTTCCTTGATAGCCTTCAGCAAAATGTTTAGGTTTCTGGCCGAAATTTGGTAGGATAATTGATTGGGAAACTTGAAGGTTCTGGAAGGCAGTTACGAAATTATTGCGTGGTTCAGGTACGAATTTGTCATTTTTAAGCATGTCAATTATTTTAGGTGGAAGCTGCACGGAATTGCCATCGGAAGCAGTGTATGACTCCCAACTATCTTCTATTCTTTCTATTCGGCGTTTCTTTGTATGAAG